GGAGCTCCTCCCACGTGCACCAGGGGAGCCCCTCCCACGTGCACCAGGGGAGCTCCTCCCACGTGCACCAGGGAAGCTCCTCCCACGTGCACCAGGGGAGCTCCTCCCACGTGCACCAGGGGAGCTCCTCCCACGTGCACCAGGGGAGCCCCTCCCACGTGCACCAGGGGAGCTCCTCCCACGTGCACCAGGGGAGCCCCTCCCACGTGCACCAGGGGAGCTCCTCCCACGTGCACCAGGGAAGCTCCTCCCACGTGCACCAGGGGAGCTCCTCCCACGTGCACCAGGGGAGCTCCTCCCACGTGCACCAGGGGAGCCCCTCCCACGTGCACCAGGGGAGCTCCTCCCACGTGCACCAGGGGAGCCCCTCCCACGTGCACCAGGGGAGCTCCTCCCACGTGCACCAGGGGAGCTCCTCCCACGTGCACCAGGGGAGCTCCTCCCACGTGCACCAGGGGAGCCCCTCCCACGTGCACCAGGGGAGCTCCTCCCACGTGCACCAGGGGAGCCCCTCCCACGTGCACCAGGGGAGCTCCTCCCACGTGCACCAGGGGAGCTCCTCCCACGTGCACCAGGGGAGCTCCTCCCACGTGCACCAGGGGAGCCCCTCCCACGTGCACCAGGGGAGCTCCTCCCACGTGCACCAGGGGAGCTCCTCCCACGTGCACCAGGGGGGGAGCTCCTCCCACGTGCACCAGGGGAGCTCCTCCCACGTGCACCAGGGGAGCTCCTCCCACGTGCACCAGGGGAGCTCCTCCCACGTGCACCAGGGGAGCTCCTCCCACGTGCACCAGGGGAGCTCCTCCCACGTGCACCAGGGGAGCTCCTCCCACGTGCACCAGGGGAGCTCCTCCCACGTGCACCAGGGGAGCCCCTCCCACGTGCACCAGGGGAGCTCCTCCCACGTGCACCAGGGGAGCCCCTCCCACGTGCACCAGGGGAGCTCCTCCCACGTGCACCAGGGGAGCCCCTCCCACGTGCACCAGGGGAGCCCCTCCCACGTGCACCAGGGGAGCCCCTCCCACGTGCACCAGGGGAGCTCCTCCCACGTGCACCAGGGGAGCCCCTCCCACGTGCACCAGGGGAGCTCCTCCCACGTGCACCAGGGGAGCCCCTCCCACGTGCACCAGGGGAGCCCCTCCCACGTGCACCAGGGGAGCTCCTCCCACGTGCACCAGGGGAGCCCCTCCCACGTGCACCAGGGGAGCTCCTCCCACGTGCACCAGGGGAGCCCCTCCCACGTGCACCAGGGGAGCCCCTCCCACGTGCACCAGGGGAGCCCCTCCCACGTGCACCAGGGGAGCCCCTCCCACGTGCACCAGGGGAGCCCCTCCCACGTGCACCAGGGGAGCCCCTCCCACGTGCACCAGGGAAGCCCCTCCCACGTGCACCAGGGGAGCCCCTCCCACGTGCACCAGGGGAGCCCCTCCCACGTGCACCAGGGGAGCCCCTCCCACGTGCACCAGGGGAGCCCCTCCCACGTGCACCAGGGGAGCCCCTCCCACGTGCACCAGGGGAGCCCCTCCCACGTGCACCAGGGGAGCCCCTCCCACGTGCACCAGGGGAGCCCCTCCCACGTGCACCAGGGGAGCCCCTCCCACGTGCACCAGGGGAGCCCCTCCCACGTGCACCAGGGGAGCCCCTCCCACGTGCACCAGGGGAGCCCCTCCCACGTGCACCAGGGGAGGTAGGGAAAATACCAATATTGTCCTGGCCTCCTCTATCACACGCTAACAAAACTCCGCGACGCAATTTGCCAGTGTCAGGTGTTTGCCTCGCACATCAAAGTCCCGCCGAAATGAGCTACGTGTCCGAATACCTGCAATTTATTACCGGCTGACTCCGGCTTCTGTGTTGTGGCGGTGAGGAAAGAGAGAGAGAGAAGGGGTGGGGGGTGGGAGGCTGGGTAGGGGGGGTTCTATCACTGGTGTGGCAACGCTGGGTGAAAATGGTGTCAGGAAATGGTGGTGATGGTTATCTTGAGGTTATCTTGAGATGATTTCGGGGCTTTGGTGTCCCCGCGGCCCGGTCCTCGACCAGGCCTCCACCCCCAGGAAGCAGCCCGTGACAGCTGACTAACACCCAGGTACCTATTTTACTGCTAGGTAACAGGAGCATAGGGTGAAAGAAACACTGCCCATTGTTTCTCGCCGGCGCCTGGGATCGAACCCAGGACCACAGGATTACAAGTCCAGCGTGCTGTCCGCTCGGCCAACCGGCTCCCTGGCTGGTTGGTATATATAAGATATATATGTTGAGTATACCACATATTCTCTCTGTTCTTGATTACTTGCTCTTCTGAATTAGCTGTTGAGCTCCTTGTAAGATTTGGAGAAGGAAGGTTGGTTGAGGATGCCGCGAAGAGGTTGTGCATATGAAAGGTGGACAGATAAGAGAGGGCAGAAGAAAACGGTGGGTGGGGAAAGGTGAGCAAGATGGTATAAATCACTTGTTCTCTCCCGTCTTGAGTACTGCTCAGTACTCACTTGCCCCCTTCAGAGCAGGAGAGATTACTGAAACAGAGTACAGAGAAAATACATAGACACGAGAAAGCACCTAAACTATTGGGACCGTCTCAAAGCTCTCAACAAATATACTCTATGGAAAGGAGATTGGAGGATGATATAATATATACATGGAAGGTACTGCAGGGCCCATGTCCCAAATTTGCACAGTAAAATAGGAATTAATATTCTGGAGTGAATGGTATGGCAGGAAGTGCAGAATAGTTAGTGGGAAGAGTAGAGGAGCAATAGGCACAGTCAGAAAACATTGTATAAACATCAGAGGTCCGCGGCTGATAATATCATCCCAGCGAGTATAAGAAATATTCCCAGAACACAAATGGAATTTACCAAGAAATAATGGGACAGTTTTCGCAAAGAAGTGCCGGACCAACCAGGTTGTAGTGGATGTGTGGGGCTGCGGGCTGCTCCAAGCAACAGCCTGTAGGACCAAGTTTTTACAGATTAAGCCTGTCCCCTGGCCGGACATGGGGAATAGAACAACTCCAAAAACCTACTCCTGGTGTGCACCTTTAATCGACTATGGACCATGTTACTAAACAATTGGGCTTTTATGTCTCCATTTAAAGCTGTGTGTGGAATGTGTTGGGTGGGGGACGGTAGCAAGGTAGAGGGAGAACACACATGTTTGTGTGAAGTTAAAAAAAATCGTGTTTGTAAGAAACACTTTATCGAAATAATGAAAATCCCAAGAGAGAGAGAGAGAGAGAGAGAGAGAGAGAGAGAGAGAGAGAGAGAGAGAGAGCTAGCTAGTTAGTTAACAAGAGCCACAACGAACACACTGTACAAACATTGGTCGCGTGATGGGGCAACGTAGATTGTTTTGTGTAGTTAGCGAAAGACAATTACAATGTTCAAGGGATAGTTTGGATTGTATGATAACTGCGTGTTTCTGAACGCCCCGAGAGCCGCACACCGAAGCTCGCTTCAGAGCGGGAGGATTAACCACCCCTCAGTAATTTGAGACGAACCCCAGTGAAGGAACTCGTCCAGCGCTTAGTGCCGTTACCAACAGGTGTGTGAAGGGCACACCTGTTTAACCCCGACACCAAGAATAGCCTCCGGGTTCTTGAGGCGAGAACACACAGCTCAACAGCCTCGTTAGAGGCCGCCTTTCCCACATGAGATGAACCCAGTTCATCCCAGTTTAGAACCCAGTTCATTCTCTCCAGTGGAGAGAGAGAGAGAGAGAGAGAGAGAGAGAGAGAGAGTGGAGGGAATGATGGTGGTAAACATTGAGAATGACAGTGATAAACAATAAGAATGATGGTGGTAAACATTGAGAATGATGGTGATAAACATTGGGAATGATGGTGGTAAACATTGAGAATGACGGTGATAAACATTGAGAATGATGGTGGTAAACATTGAGAATGATGGTGATAAACATTGGGAATGATGGTGATAAACATTGAGAATGATGGTGATAAACTCTGTATTTGTTACCAAGGTGCTGAGAAGGACCAAAGATAGTGATCACTGTACATGATCAACACTCCTCCTCCTCCCCCTCTCAGCACCATTGCAACCTCTACAACATGTTACTCCCTCTAGCACCTTACTCTCAGTAGAAAAAAAGCATTTAGCAAGTAGACTTCATTGGTAGATATGATCTCCCTTGTAAGGGAACAAAAGTCCTCAACAACAAAAGCGTCATTTGCAAGTGAAGTTTGTTCTGTAACTTGTTTCTATACAGTTGTTAGAGCATTTTGTGCTCTCATCTACCTCACTGCAACAACTTAACCTCTGCAACACTTTCCTCCTTTGCTGCCATTCCCCAACGTGGCTCTGTCATTGACTTTAAAACTCACGTCACCTTTCAAAGGATAAAATGCCGTTTTTTTTCAGTTTCCCCTCAAATTCTCCTCCACTTGTGCCGTTCCTATTCCCCTTCCTGTGTTCCCGTTCCTCTTCCTGTGTTCCCATTACTCTTCCTGTGTTCCCGTTCCTTTTCCTGTGTTCCCGTTCCCATTCCTGTGTTCCCATTACTCTTCCTGTGTTCCCGTTCCTCTTCCTGTGTTCCCGTTCCTCTTCCTGTGTTCCCATTACTCTTCCTGTGTTCCCATTACTCTTCCAGTGTTTCCGTTCCTCTTCCTGTGTTCCCGTTCCTCTTCCTGTGTTCCCGTTCCCATTCCTGTGTTCCCATTACTCTTCCTGTGTTCCCGTTCCTCTTCCTGTGTTCCCGTTCCTCTTCCTGTGTTCCCATTACTCTTCCTGTGTTCCCATTACTCTTCCAGTGTTCCCGTTCCTCTTCCTGTGTTCCCGTTCCTCTTCCTGTGTTCCCATTCCTCTTCCTGTGTTCCCATTCCTCTTCCTGTGTTCCCCATCATCTCGCCTCTCACCACTTTCCCCCTATTGTTTGTGTTTACATTTATCTTCGTGTTTTTGAATGGATCCGGATGTGTTTGAATTGTATTTGATGACGAACGCGCCAGCAAGGCCCTCTGCCGCGATGTGTTGTGGGAGACCCGGACCTTACCTCGTAATGTTGGGGGAGACGAGAGTTTGGCTTGTTGATGGTGTGGCTTGTTGATGGTGTGGCTTGTTGATGGTGTGGCTTGTTGACGGTCTGGCTTGTTGACGGCCTGGGTTGTTGATGGTCTGGCTTGTTGACGGCCTGGCTTGTTGACGGCCTGGCTTGTTGACGGCCTGGCTTGTTGACGGTCTGGCTTGTTGACGGCCTGGCTTGTTGACGGCCTGGCTTGTTGACGGTCTGGGTTGTTGACGGTCTGGGTTGTTGACGGTCTGGGTTGTTGACGGCCTGGCTTGTTGACGGCCTGGCTTGTTGACGGCCTGGGTTGTTGACGGCCTGGCTTGTTGACGGCCTGGCTTGTTGACGGTCTGGGTTGTTGACGGCCTGGCTTGTTGACGGCCTGGCTTGTTGACGGTCTGGGTTGTTGACGGCCTGGCTTGTTGACGGCCTGGCTTGTTGACGGCCTGGCTTGTTGACGGTCTGGGTTGTTGACGGTCTGGGTTGTTGACGGTCTGGGTTGTTGACGGTCTGGCTTGTTGACGGCCTGGCTTGTTGACGGCCTGGCTTGTTGACGGCCTGGCTTGTTGACGGCCTAGGTTGTTGACGGCCTGGCTTGTTGACGGCCTGGCTTGTTGACGGCCTGGCTTGTTGACGGCCTGGCTTGTTGACGGTCTGCTACTGCTCTGTGTCACTACTGCCACTCCTGGCACTTCCTCTGTGCCTATATTCGTAACTTTCGTCTGTGTCGAACTTGGGGGGGCTGGTATCTCCCACTTCGTACACCTTCACTTGCCTACACACGGAAAGCGGCGTTCAATATTGCAGGGGTTGAGCTCTGGCTCTTTGGTCCCGCCTCTCAACCGTCAATCAACAGGTGTACAGGTTCCTGAAGAACCTGTGTGTGTGTGTTCGTGTGTGTGTGTGTGTGTGTGTGTGTGTGTGTGTGTGTGTGTGTGTGCGCGTGTGTGCGTGCGTGTGTGTGTGTGTGTGTGTGTGTGTGTGTGTGTGTGTGTGTGTGTCCAGGTTCGTACACGCTCGGCGGCGGCCGTAGTCTTGTTTGAAAAGTTGAAAACATTTTACATTTTCCATTATCTCGCTCCGATGCCAAATTGAATTTTCATGAGGCTTTTACACAAGTGTGGAAGCCACTCGTGTTTGGCTTCCGTTTTTTGTGCTCGCACTCTGCTTTATCTCTTTCTCACTCTCTCGCTCTTTATATATATATATATATATATATATATATATATATATATATATATATATATATATATATATATATATATATATATACAAAATTTAGTAATTTTCCTGAAATCTGTGAATAATGTTGTATTTTGCTATAAGAAACTGAATTAGTTATTGAGTAACTATCGGAAAATGTATTTAAATTTTCCCAGCATTAGTGAGTAATGTATATTGTTAGACAAAATACATCGTCGTGGGGGTTCGTATGTCATTGTTGCACTTGTTCCCTCTCTTGAATTATGGCTACTCCCTCCAGCTTGTGTCCGCCAGGCTCCTTGTGCGAGGATTCCTCGGCCCTGTGTGTGACCAGGACTGGTCAACCAGGCTGTTGGAGGCGGCTGCTCGCAACCTGATGTATGAGTCACAGCCTGGTTGATCAGGTATCCTTTGGGGGTGTTTGTCAAGTTCTCTCTTGAACACTGTGAGGGGTCGGCCAGTTATGCCCCTTATGTGTAGTGGAAGCGTGTTGAACAGTCTCGGGCCTCTGATGTTGATAGTTCTCTCTTGAACACTGTGAGGGGTCGGCCAGTTATGCCCCTTATGTGTAGTGGAAGCGTGTTGAACAGTCTCGGGCCTCTGATGTTGATAGTTCTCTCTTGAACACTGTGAGGGGTCGGCCAGTTATGTCCCTTATGTGTAGTGGAAGCGTGTTGAACAGTCTCGGGCCTCTGATGTTGATAGTTCTCTCTTGAACACTGTGAGGGGTCGGCCAGTTATGCCCCTTATGTGTAGTGGAAGCGTGTTGAACAGTCTCGGGCCTCTGATGTTGATAGTTCTCTCTTGAACACTGTGAGGGGTCGGCCAGTTATGCCCCTTATGTGTAGTGGAAGCGTGTTGAACAGTCTCGGGCCTCTGATGTTGATAGTTCTCTCTTGAACACTGTGAGGGGTCGGCCAGTTATGCCCCTTATGTGTAGTGGAAGCGTGTTGAACAGTCTCGGGCCTCTGATGTTGATAGTTCTCTCTTGAACACTGTGAGGGGTCGGCCAGTTATGCCCCTTATGTGTAGTGGAAGCGTGTTGAACAGTCTCGGGCCTCTGATGTTGATAGTTCTCTCTTGAACACTGTGAGGGGTCGGCCAGTTATGTCCCTTATGTGTAGTGGAAGCGTGTTGAACAGTCTCGGGCCTCTGATGTTGATAGTTCTCTCTTGAACACTGTGAGGGGTCGACCAGTTATGTCCCTTATGTGTAGTAGAAGCGTGTTGAACAGTCTTGGGCCTCTGATGTAATAGAGTTCTCTCTCAGAGTACCTGTTGCACCTCTGCTTTTCAACGGGGGTATTCTGCACATCCTGCCATGCCTCCTGGTCTCATGTGGTGTTATATCTGTGTGCAGGTTTAGAACTAGTCCTTCTAGTAGTTTTCCGAATGTAAATTATTATACATTTCTCCCGAGTGCGCTCTACGGAGTACAGGTTTAAAAGTTTTAAATGGTCCCAATAATTTTGGTGTTTTATTGAGTGCATTCTAACGCAATAGAAATGTGCAATACTGTAATAGAGGAACGTTGCACGCTCTCCACCTCAGCAATTTCTCCAGCTTTGAATTGGGCTGTTAGCGTACAACAATATTCCACCCTAGAGAACCCTAGTTCCCTCTGCAGGTTTTGGGTGAGGCTAGCCCGTAGCCTCTGACCTCGAACTTTGAACAAACACACTCTCGTATAGTATAGATTTTTGTAATAGTTTTATTTATTAATTTTTTGTATATAACTCATTTATACTCCGCATTAATTGATATAATTTAAACAGTTTTGGAGGAATAAAAAGCCTAAATCACTAACACAATATTTTACCTCGATCTGGCTAGAAATAAATCATCAATTGAGTGAATTAGAAGCATTGTTCTCCCCTCTGCCAATGAAGGGATATTAACAAGCTTAATTAGCACAGTGTTTTGTTCCGCCCAACTGCTCATTTATTAATCGTTAGGAATTTACAGAATGATTAGTTCTCGCAGCAGTAAACATAGATACATGAACACTGGCAGCTGTGGGGTGTTGAGCTGCCTCAGGTGTGTGGCAGGTGTTGAGCTGCCTCAGGTGTGTGGCAGGTGTTGAGCTGCCTCAGGTGTGTGGCAGGTGTTGAGCTGCCTCAGGTGTGTATGGCAGGTGTTGAGCTGCCTCAGGTGTGTGTGGCAGGTGTTGAGCTGCCTCAGGTGTGTGTGGCGGGTGTTGAGCTGCCTCAGGTGTGTGGCGGGTGTTGAGCTGCCTCAGGTGTGTGGCAGGTGTTGACCTGCCTCAGGTGTGTGGTAGGTGTTGACCTGCCTCAGGTGTGTGGTAGGTGTTGACCTGCCTCAGGTGTGTGGTAGGTGTTGACCTGCCTCAGGTGTGTGGCGGGTGTTGAGCTGCCTCAGGTGTGTGGCGGGTGTTGAGCTGCCTCAGGTGTGTGGCAGGTGTTGAGCTGCCTCAGGTGTGTGTGGCAGGTGTTGAGCTGCCTCAGGTGTGTGGCAGGTGTTGAGCTGCCTCAGGTGTGGCAGGTGTTGAGCTGCCTCAGGTGTGTGGCAGGTGTTTACCTGCCTCGGGTGTCGAGCAGCTGCAGGTGTTTTAAGTGCCTCTTCTCGTTAAGTGAGACATCTTAAGTGTCTCCATGATTGGGGCCCACTTTTGCCTTCTTCCAGCAGCTGGGTGATGTCTCCTCTTAAGTGGTTCATTTAGAAGATCATTAACGTCTCTTAAGTGGTTCATAAAGTGGCGTTATTCATCATTCTCCTCTTAAGCGGTTCATTAGAAGATCAGTGCACTTAGCACCTCTCAAGTCTCCGGCCTTAGATGTTCTTGTATAGATATGGATACTCTGTAGATATTTAATCGTGTATAATAAGGTACTGGTCATTAATTAATTATAGATCATCGGTGATAATAATTATAAATAATGATTGACTTGAAGTGATAGTGAAGTCTGTAACAGTTATTGATAATTAGAACTAAGCGTTACTGAGATTATTTAAAGCTTCCAGTAATAATTATATTATATAATGAATCCAGTAATTAAATTCATTGTAATTATATAACACTTCTTATGAAAAAAGATATAATAGATATCGTATACGGCTGAAGGTGTTGAAAGAAGAAATAGAGAAAGAGAGGAGATAGAGCAGGGGGGGGAGAGAGAGAGAGAGAGAGAGAGAGAGACTGAGAGACTGAGAGAAGAAAGTAGTGAATACATTGACTCTAGCGAAATATGCTAACACAAGCACCTAGCCATACCTTCCCCCATCTACCACAAGAGCTATTGTCCCTATTCCTACCATATCAAAAAGCACCATATGCACCTTTCACATAATTTCAGTTGTACCGAAACACCATCAAATGTGATATCTGTTTTCCCTTTGATGTTTCAGATATCTTGGCTCGAGCGGCGGGTTTATCGAACCCGCCTGGCACCCCAGGACCGGATCTGGCCTCGGGCGGACCCCGCCCACCCCCGCCCACATGGGAGAACCCTCCCACGCCCACCAGGCCTATCCCAACCCAGCCAGAGCATGGGACAGCGGATGGGGGCGGGTTTATCCCTGGTAAGTACTCCCTAGTCTTGTTTCCTATCGCCTCACAAGCGTCATTTGTGGTGGGTTTTGCGTAAGCCAAAGCGTACGATCCTAGACGCAAGACCTAACCCTCTCTGAGGCCGGGGAAGCGTCGGTATTGCCGTGGTTTTAATTGTGCTCCAGCATTGGGGTTTTGACGCAGGTGTGGGTCTGTGACACCGTTTTTCTCAAGGTGAGTAGCAGCACAACTCTCCTCCCACGACGATTACCGGCACTTTCCACTCCTGCACTCTGTATCCACTCTGTATCCACAACTACTCGGGCAGTAGCTGTAGTACAGTGAAGCACGTCCCCGCTACAGGGTCAGTACACTGAAGGCAAACTGTGTAGGGTTATTTCAAACTTGTAATAATCTCACCTAGGTGAGCTTGAGTGATTGAGCTCGAGTTTGAGTTGAGCATGAGGGGCCACAACCCCACGTCCCTCACCCTCACCACAACCCCACGTCCTCCACCCCACCACAACCCCACGTCCCTCACCCCCACCACAACCCCACGTCCTCCACCCCCACCACAACCCCACGTCCTCCACCCCCACCACAACCCCACGTCCTCCACCCCCACCACAACCCCCACGTCCCCCACCCCACCACAACCCCACGTCCTCCACCCCACCACAACCCCACGTCCTCCACCCCCACCACAACCCCACGTCCTCCACCCCCACCACAACCCCACGTCCTCCACCCCCACCACAACCCCACGTCCTCCACCCCCACCACAACCCCACATCCTCCACCCCCACCACAACCCCCACGTCCCCCACCCCACCACAACCCCACGTCCTCCACCCCACCACAACCCCACGTCCTCCACCCCCACCACAACCCCACGTCCTCCACCCCACCACAACCCTACGTCCCTCACCCCCCACCACAACCCCACGTCCCTCACCCCCACCACAACCCCACGTCCTCCACCCCCACCACAACCCCACGTCCCTCACCCCCACCACAACCCCACGTCCCTCACCCCCACCACAACCCCACGTCCCCCACCCCACCACAACCCCATCCCACCACAACCCCCACGTCCCCCACCCCACCACAACCCCACGTCCTCCACCCCACCCCACGTCCTCCACTGTTACCTAGCAGTAAATAGGTACCTGGGTGTTAGTCAGCTGTCATGGGCTGCTTCCTGGGGGTGGAGGCCTGGTCGAAGACCGGGCCGCGGGGACACTAAAGCCCCGAAATCATCTCAAGATAATCTCAAGATAATCACCACAACCCCACGTCCTCCACCCCACCACAACCCCACGTCCCCCACCCCACCACAACCCCACGTCCCCCACCCCACCACAACCCCACGTCCCCCACGTCCTCCACCCCACCACAACCCCACGTCCCCCACCCCACCACAACCCCACGTCCTCCACCCCCACCACAACCACACGTCCTCCACCCCCACCACAACCCCCACGTCCCCCACCCCACCACAACCCCCACGTCCCCCACCCCACCACAACCCCCACGTCCCCCACCCCAACACAACCCCACGTCCCCCACCCCACCACAACCCCACGTCCTCCACCCCACCACAACCCCACGTCCCCCACCCCACCACAACCCCACGTCCTCCACCCCATCACAACCCCCACGTCCCCCACCCCATCACAACCCCCACGTCCCCCACCCCATCACAACCCCCACATCCTCCACCCCACCACAACCCTCACGTCCTCCACCCCACCACAACCCCCACGTCCCCCATCCCACCACAACCCCACGTCCCCCACCACAACCCCACGTCCCTCACCCCACCACAACCCCCACGTCCTCCACCCCACCACAACCCCACGTCCTCCACCCCACCACAACCCCACGTCCCCCACCCCCACCACAACCCCACGTCCCTCACCCCACCACTACCCCCACGTCCTCCACCCCACCACAACCCCACGTCCTCCACCCCCACCACAACCCCACGTCCTCCACCCCCACCACAACCCCACGTCCCTCACCCCACCACAACCCCCACGTCCTCCACCCCACCACAACCCCACGTCCTCCACCACAACCCCACGTCCCCCACCCCACCACAACCCCAGGTCCTCCACCCCCACCACAACCCCACGTCCCCCACCCCACCACAACCCCACGTCCCCCACCCCACCACAACCCCACGTCCCCCACCCCACCACAACCCCACGTCCCCCACCCCACCACAACCCCACGTCCCCCACTCCCACCACAACCCCACGTCCCCCACCCCACCACAACCCCACGTCCCTCACCTCACCACAACCCCCACGTCCCCCACCACAACCCCACGTCCCCCACCACAACCCCACGTCCCCCACCACAACCCCACGTCCCCCACCCCACCACAACCCCACGTCCCCCACCCAACCACAACCCCACGTCCCACACCCCACCACAACCCCACGTCCCCCACCACAACCCCACGTCCCCCACCACAACCCCACGTCCCCACCACAACCCCACGTCCCCCACCACAACCCCACGTCCTCCACCCCACCACAACCCCACGTCCCCCACCACACCACAACCCCACGTCCTCCACCCCACCACAACCCCACGTCCTCCACCACAACCCCACGTCCCCCACCACAACCCCACGTCCTCCACCCCACCACAACCCCACGTCCTCCACCCCACCACAACCCCACGTCCTCCACCCCACCACAACCCCACGTCCTCCACCCCACCACAACCCCACGTCCTCCACCCCACCACAACCCCACGTCCTCCACCCCACCACAACCCCACGTCCTCCACCCCACCACAACCCCACGTCCTCCACCCCACCACAACCCCACGTCCTCCACCCCACCACAACCCCACGTCCTCCACCCCACCACAACCCCACGTCCCCCACCACAACCCCACGTCCTCCACCCCACCACAACCCCACGTCCTCCACCACAACCCAACGTCCTCCACCCCACCACAACTCCACGTCCCCCACCACAACCCCACGTCCTCCACCCCACCACAACCCCACGTCCTCCACCCCACCACAACCCCACGTCCTCCACCTCAACCCCACGTCCTCCACCCCACCACAACCCCACGTCCCCCACCACAACCCCACGTCCTCCACCACAACCCCACGTCCACAACCCCACGTCCTCCACCCCACCACAACCCCACGTCCTCCACCCCACCACAACCCCACGTCCTCCACCCCACCACAACCCCACGTCCCCCACCACAACCCCCACGTCCCCCACCACAACCCCCACGTCCCCCACCACAACCCCACGTCCCCCACCACAACCCCCACGTCCCCCACCACAACCCCCACTACAACCTCACGTCCCCCACCACAACCCCACGTCCTCCACCACAACCCCACGTCCCCCACCACAACCCCACGTCCCCCACCACAACCCCCACGTCCCCCACCACAACCCCACGTCCCCCACCACAACCCCACGTCCCCCACCACAACCCCACGTCCCCCACCACAACCCCACGTCCCCCACCACAACCCCACGTCCCCCACCACAACCCCACGTCCTCCACCACAACCCCACGTCCCCCACCACAACCCCACGTCCCCCACCACAACCCCACGTCCCCCACCACAACCCCACGTTCCCCACCACAACCCCACGTCCCCCACCACAACCCCTACGTCCCCCACCACAACCCCACGTCCCCCACCACAACCCCACGTCCCCCACCACAACCCCACGTCCTCCACCACAACCCCACGTCCCCCACCACAACCCCACGTCCCCCACCACAACCCCACGTCCCCCACCACAACCCCACGTCCCCCACCACAACCCCCACGTCCCCCACCACAACCCCCACGTCCCCCACCACAACCCCACGTCCCCCACCACAACCCTACCAACTCAAAGTGGGAATTCCTTACAGTTCTCGCTCAAGTTTGAATTGAGGTTGCCAGAGGTAGCAACCGGAGCAGCATCGTTGCAAGTGACGGGACAATTACTGGGCCGGTAATGGTCCGAGGCCGGGCTCTGGCTGGTTGGTGGGGGCTGCTGGTCGCTAGCCACGCGTTGAAACACCCCCGAGAGAGAGGTGTAACATTATAGGGACATGATAACGACGTATAAGATCGTAAGGAAAACTCACAAAAAATAGACTATGTATTAATGTATTGGCGTTATCATACCTGGAGAGGGTTCTGGGAGTTGTTCTGTTCCCCAAGCTCGGGGCTAAGGACAGGCTCGAATTGATAGCTTGGTCCAACAGGCTGTTGCTTGGAGGAGCCCGCAGGCATGCAGGTATCCTTGGGCATGCGCGTCTAGGCGCGTGCTCCCTCACACAGGCAAGTTATAGTACTGTTGTATATAGGTCGATACCTGATCAACCAGGCTGTGATTCGTACGTCAGGCTACGAGCAGCCGCGTCCAACAGCCTGGTTGATCAGTCCAGCAACCAGGAGGCCTGGTCGACGACCGGGCCGCGGGGATGCTGAGCCCCGGAAGCACCTCAAGGTAACCTCAAGGTATGTCTCATAGACGTTATTAAATATTTGAGCAGTGTTCGGTGGCGGCAGCCTTGGAGCGTGGTGGTGTGTCACGTCTCCTCTGATGTCTGGCACTCTGTATATTGGTTAGTCTAGCTAGGAGGGGTATAATAAATCAGGGAACAATATGTTGACCAGACCACACACTAGAAGGTGAAGGGACGACGACGTTTCGGTCCGTCCTGGACCATTCTCACAATCGACTTGAGAATGGTCCAGGACGGACCGAAACGTCGTCGTCCCTTCACCTTCTAGTGTGTGGTCTGGTCAACATTCTTTAGCCACGTTATTGCGACTCATCGCCTGCACAGGGAGCAATATATCATAATATATCATGGGTAGGTATATCATGACATCCTCGTGGGTTCACCAGAACCCTAGCTTGCAATCCTGTTGATCATGTCGTGGCCCGGTTGTGTGGGGTGTGTGCCTTCGGAATATTCAGCATATTGGTTCGAATCCTCATCACGTCTTCTACGGATTTCCTCATTGGTGCAGTCATGTTAGTGTGATTTCTCTCCTTGATTGATTGGTGAAGATTAAGCCACCCAAAAGGTGGCACGGGCATGAATAGCCCGTAAGTGGTGGCCCTTTTGAGCCATTACCAGTATCAAGAGCTGATACTGGAGATCTGTGGAGGTGCGACTGCACCCTGCGTGACGGGAGATGTCTCCCGTGGATTTCTTTCCGTGTATGGAACCATTATGTAGCCAGACAAGTGTAGTGAAACGTGGTGTGTTATTACCGTGGACTTTTAGCCGATATATAATAACAATTCTCTTTACAACATAGATGGGGGATACCTAGGTCTAATTCAACTCCATCGTCTTCTTCTGACAATCCTCATAAGGCAATCAAAATTTGCCAGTGCTGGCTATTGAACATATTATCCTCTATGACTAACCATCCTGTGTGAAGGGGATTTTTAGCATCAGGTAGTTAGTTCTTGACACACACTGTACTTCCCTTCATATAGTCTAGGGCAGCTAGTTCTTGACACACACTGTACTTCCCTTCATATAGTCTAGGGCAGCTAGTTCTTGACACACACTGTACTTCCCTTCATATAGTCAAGGGCAGCTAGTTCTTGACACGCACTGTACTCCCCTTCATATAGTCTAGGGCAGCTAGTTCTTGACACACACTGTACTTCCCTTCATATAGTCTAGGGCAGCTAGTTCTTGACACACACTGTACTCCCCTTCATATAGTCTAGGGCAGCTAGTTCTTGACACACACTGTACTTCCCTTCATATAGTCTAGGGCAGCTAGTTCTTGACACACACTGTACTTCCCTTCATATAGTCTAGGGCAGCTAGTTCTTGACACACACTGTACTCCCCTTCATATAGTCTAGGGCAGCTAGTTCTTGACACACACTGTACTCCCCTTCATATAGTCTAGGGCAGCTAGTTCTTGACACACACTGTACTCCCCTTCATATAGTCTAGGGCAGCTAGTTCTTGACACGCACTGTACTCCCCTTCATATAGTCTAGGGCAGCTAGTTCTTGACACACACTGTACTTCCCTTCATATAGTCTAGGGCAGCTAGTTCTTGACACGCACTGTACTCCCCTTCATATAGTCTAGGGCAGCTAGTTCTTGACACGCACTGTACTTCCCTTCATATAGTCTAGGGCAGCTAGTTCTTGACACACTCTGTACTCCCCTTCATATAGTCTAGGGCAGCTAGTTCTTGACACGCACTGTACTCCCCTTCATATAGTCTAGGGCAGCTAGTTCTTGACACACTCTGTACTTCCCTTCATATAGTCTAGGGCAGCTAGTTCTTGACACACACTGTACTCCCCTTCATATAGTCTAGGGCAGCTAGTTCTTGACACGCACTGTACTCCCCTTCATATAGTCTAGGGCAGCTAGTTCTTGACACACTCTGTACTTCCCTTCATATAGTCTAGGGCAGCTAGTTCTTGACACGCACTGTACTCCCCTTCATATAGTCCAGGGCAGCTAGTTCTTGACACACTCTGTACTTCCCTTCATATAGTCTAGGGCAGCTAGTTCTTGACACGCACTGTACTCCCCTTCATATAGTCTAGGGCAGCTAGTTCTTGACACACACTGAACTCCCCTTCATATAGTCTAGGGCAGCTAGTTCTTGACACACTCTGTACTTCCCTTCATATAGTCTAGGGCAGCTAGTTCTTGACACGCACTGTACTCCCCTTCATATAGTCTAGGGCAGCTAGTTCTTGACACACACTGTACTCCCCTTCATATAGTCTAGGGCAGCTAGTTCTTGACACACTCTGTACTTCCCTTCATATAGTCTAGGGCAGCTAGTTCTTGACACACACTGTACTTCCCTTCATATAGTCTAGGGCAGCTAGTTCTTGACACACACTGTACTTCCCTTCATATAGTCTAGGGCAGCTAGTTCTTGACACACTCTGTACTCCCCTTCATATAGTCTAGGGCAGCTAGTTCTTGACACACTCTGTACTCCCCTTCATATAGTCTAGGGCAGCTAGTTCTTGACACACTCTGTACTCCCCCTTCATATAGTCTAAGGCAGCTAGTTCTTGACACACTCTGAACTCCCCCTTCATATAGTCTAAGGCCTGTTGTGGACTATGACAAACACTTAGAATTTTTAATTCTTGTGTTTAAAACACACACACACACACACACACACACACACACACACACACACACACACACACACACAGACACACACACAGACACACACACAGACACACACACACAGACACACACACACAGACACACACACGCACACACGCGCACACACACGCACACGCGCACACACACGCACACGCGCACACACACACGCACACGCGCACACACACACACACACACACACACACACACACACACACACACACACACACACACACACACACACACACACATTTTCCTTTTAATTTTTGAGGCGGATTCTGACGCGGCATCTTCATCCAAGCTGCATCCATCATGGATGTTGACAGCTCTTGTTTGATGGCTGGATGGATGATTTGACGGCTCTCCTCATCCATACTGCGCCACCACGGGCGTTTCTGCTTTTTGAGAGTCATCCACCGCTCGTATCGACAGCTCTGGCGTGGGTACTGGTTGGTACCACACCCTAGTTGATACCTCAACCAGGGGTGGACCCATTCACCCTGGGGGGGGTGGGGGTTGATGAACAATGTTGTGTTTTGGTAGTTACGTCACAACCTCATCCATAACGGTTGTTAGTACTAGTCCCTGTGACGGATGTGTTCTGTTACATTCTTGTGTTCTGTTGCACTGTTCTGTTACATTCTTGTGTTCTGTTGCACTGTTCTGTTACATTCTTGTGTTCTGTTGCTCAGTCCTGTTACATTCTTGTGTTCTGTTACACTGTTCTGTTACATTCTTGTGTTCTGTTATACTGTTCTGTTACATTCTTGTGTTCTGTTGCTCAGTCCTGTTACATTCTTGTGTTCTGTTGCTCAGTCCTGTTACATTCTTGTGTTCTGTTGCTCAGTCCTGTTACATTCTTGTGTTCTGTTGCTCAGTCCTGTTACATTCTTGTGTTCTGTTACACTGTTCTGTTACATTCTTGTGTTCTGTTACACTGTTCTGTTACATTCTTGTCCTCTGTTACACATGTGTGTGTTCTTATGCCTTGTCACATGTGTAGAGTTTCTTCAGTCGACTTTGCCTGTGTAAGATAATAGATTAGTAAGCAATATATGCCATGAATTAACTATTCATCATATGTACATGACTATCTCTCATCTTAGGGGGCTGTAATTTGATTGTCGGCGTCATTATGTATTCTGATCATGTATTTTATGATTATGTCATTATGTATTTGACCTCGATCTCTCCCAAATTAGTTGTTCCGAAAATGTCTTATGTATTTTACATCACATGCATAAATTTTTTCCAACACGTCTTGGGGTTCCACTGCCAATTTTCCCATCTTTTGCTAAGTACTTAATTTGCATATTATAATTTAATCAAATGATCCTTAGTTGGTGGAGTTTGGGTAATGGAGTTTATTGAGTATTTGCATATTGATGACTTTGATGGAACAGACGCTAATAATTATCACCCAGACGGCAGCCTGTCAATGGTCTTAGACTTTATTGTGAAGATGATTGTTTGCTCTGACGATACGAGTAGTTTGTCTTCATGGGGGGAGGGGGAGGTGTTGACCCCTGACAGACCCCCCTGGGTCATCACCCATCTATTAGTGAAAGTCTGCGATGGTCTAATCGATAGTCTTGTATCTATTAGTTTTATAGATAGTCTATTATGGTGATATTAGTCCCCCCATTAGTCAAGGGGACTGACAATGGTCAGATGCCAGAGGAATGTAATAGATGCGAGACGGTACATTAGAGCGAAAGTTTCATCTTTTATCAATCTCTGTGTCACTTAAAATGTGTTGTGTTGCTGTGGTCCATTGTGATGAGTCATGACAACACTCATCATATTCAGGCGATGAGTCACAAGTCATGACAACACTCATCATTTTCAGGCGATGAGTCACAATAACGTGGCTAAAGTAAGTTGACCAGACCACACACTAGAAGGTGAAGGGACGACGACGTTTCGGTCCGTCCTGGACCATTCTCAAGTCGATTGTGATGAGGAAGATGATTGATAAAGATTAAGCCACCCAAGAGGTGGCACGGGCATGAATAGCCCGTAAGTGGTACAATTTTTTTTTTCTCAGTATTCTGAGGTTGCATTTAACCATCAAGCTGTTATCGCGGGGGAGGATACTGCTTCACAGTCTTTATGAGGGTGTCCAGC